CGCCCCTGGAATTATTTCAAATTAAGATTGTAAAATTGGCAAGCATGAAGGACGCACTCTGTTTATTGTCTGTCTATATATTCTATTTGACCTTAGATTGTAATAAACCGACAGATGACTGACGTTTTTGGACAGTTATATAAAATTTTGTTTTCTTGCTACACGAAAAGCGGTCGTTGCACGTGTAAAGTATGGTTGGAAATGGCGCACTTACAGTCAAGATGGATGGTTATTTTATTGCCCCTAATGCATTTTTTTCAAGCCATTGTTTTACTGACACGTGTGAATTATGACATCCGTCGGTTTCTTTGAAATGAAATTTTCTACATTGCGGTAACTTTTATCCAACAAACGCTCAACACTTCATTAAATATCTACTTCTTAGGGTACCGCAGTTTTGTCTGGTGATCCGGGCAATAAATGTTTTCTCTTTAATAGAGCACCGCGATGTTGTGTAGTGATCCGTACAATAAACATTTTACGCGCTTGATTGTTAATGAACTAAAATAATAGAGGGTAGATAATGCCTATAATTCCCTGCAGATGGCGAAGATTACATTAATTGCCGACAATAAATATACAACGGTACCTTCTCGAGCTTAACATTCTTTTTCTCCCAGATTTTATGATTGATCCAATAGCAGAAACGCAAACACGATGTACATGAGCACTTAATAATTCTACATGAACACTTTATAGTTCAAAGAAATACTTTGTTGCACAAAGAACTTTATTATCTACTCCTTTGAAGTACCTTTCTTTAATAAAAATTCATATTTAAGGAGACGATTTTCCATTCGAGACAAAATTTAACATTGCAGAAAAAAGTCAAAATGTCTGATGTCAACGCCTACATCTCTGTAACTCACTGGCCCAGGGCGTAAATAAATTGAAAGTAACGATTAAAGACCTATAATAACTTTGAGATAGTATGCATGGTCCCTTTTGATAAAAAATATTCTGAAAGTAGCAAAGTTTGGGATTTTTTATAGTGTTTTTAGATTTATTTGAATCATGAACTCATTTTATCATATAAAATTTTACAGCGATTACATAATAACGTGAATAACGTCATTATTTTATTTCCCTAAGATGTATGGAATGGTCTAGTTCTGCATCTAACATTGACCTGTCCATGAATTAATTCAAGGGATTTCAAGATCAAACTATGCCTCAGAAATGTTTTTTATTTTTATTTCCCAAAAGTGTTTCAATTTTGGTGTATTTTTATAATATCCAAAAAGATACTTATTGTCTAATTATCTAAACTGTCTTTATCATTTGTTGCTTTTTTTTGGCAATAAGTATAGTTATAGTGAATAAGTATTTTCATGGAGCTAAATTTAAATTTGTTTATAAATCTTGTATGGGAGTCAAAATACTATTTTGTTTACATTTTGCTACTTTCATGACATTTTTTTCACATTTAGCGCTATATATACTTACTTAAAGTAACAAGCATCTAACATGCTCTAAAACCATTATTTAAACATTTTAAAATTCATGTTTGCCCTTTTCAAGAAGTAAAACATTATTTATTTCTGGGGCAAAATATGCCTGTAAAGGATGAACACCCACCAGTATGGAGACTTTTCAGCCCTCCATGGTGACTTTCTAGTCCTCCGTGGAGGTTTTTAGTTCTCCGGGTGACTTTCTAGTCCTCCGTGGTGGTTTTTAGTCCTCCAGGGTGACTTTCTAGTCCTCCGTGGTGGTTTTTAGTTCTCCGGGTGACTTTCTAGTCCTCCGTGGTGGTTTTTTAGTCCTCCAGGGTGGTTTTCTAGTCCTCCGTGGTGGTTTTTTTAGTCCTCCAGGGTGACTTTCTAGTCCTCTGTGGAGGTTTTTAGTCCTCCAGGGTGGTTTTCTAGTCCTCTGTGGTGGCTTTTAGTCCTCCAGGGTGACTTTCTAGTCCTCCGTGGTGTTTTTTTTAGTCCTCCAGGGTGACTTTCTAGTCCTCCGTAGTGGTTTTTAGTCTCCAGGGTGACTTTCTAGTCCTCCGTGGTGGTTTTTTTAGTCCTCCAGGGTGACTTTCTAGTCCTCTGTGGAGGTTTTTAGTCCTCCAGGGTGGTTTTCTAGTCCTCTGTGGTGGCTTTTAGTCCTCCACGGTGGTTTTCTAGTCCTCTGTGGTGGCTTTTAGTCTTCCTGGTGGTTTTCTAGTCCTCTGTGGTGGCTTTTAGTCCTCCTGGTGGTTTTCTAGTCCTCTGTGGTGGTTTTCTAGTCCTCTGTTGTGGTTTTCTAGTCCTCCGGGTGATTTTTAGTCCTCCTGGTGGTTTTCTAGTCCTCTGTGCAGGTTTTTTGTCCTCCTGGTGGACAATTCTTTTAGTTTTTAAGCTTGAAAACTGCTTTAGGCGGTGCTATAGGGGCCTGGGAGATGTTACACGATTTTATTCCATTAAACAGACTCGATCAAATCGAGCCCGCGATTATCAACTTTTTGTTTTTGTTTACATTGCCCTTTCTTGAATTTTCTTTTATAATATAAAATGCTATTTTTCCTAAATTAAGGGAGGTAACTTCATATAGTCTCAAGCTAGACAGAGGAAAACTGTACTGCAGTTCGGATTTTGCAAGAAGAATTATTATATTTCTATATAGTGTGTACCAAAAATCCATGTAATAAAATGTTGTTTGTAGAAGTTACAAAATCAATGCTAGTCATTCAATTTAGAACATCGTTTAATAATAAAGGTCGATTACAACTGATGCCAAACCTTATTTCAATATTTTGTCTGGTCATTCCGGACCATTAAACCCAGTTTTTTTATCGTTGCAGATTGTATACAGCTTAAGTCGGTGCTAGGGTAGTGAATGCGAGATACATAATAACAGATACTGTACTTTTAAATTAGCATTCATTGACTTCCCAATCAAACGGAGTCAGGGATTGTCACGTGTTATTTAATTTTATTGCTGTCGCGGGTTTTCCCTTTACCGGAACTGACATCATCAATATAGTTTTCAAAATGGCGGTAGTCGAGGATATTTTTCGCGCGCAATTTATGTAATAGACCTGGTGTTTTATCAACTGGGCTCCATCATACGGTAACTCATGCTATTTAAACCGGTAAATATACGGAATGTATACGGTGGGTTCCAATCATGGGCGTCTCACTTCAAAATATTATCACCTACTTGTAAAATAAACGGTATGGTAACTGGACCACGTGCATAACCATGTGGACAGCACATCGATGCACGTGTTTTAAGGAGCTCCAACATCGATCCAATACCTATTTAATTAGGAAACGTATGGCCATACAGTTGTAATTCAAATATAAAGACACTGTATTCTCTTCCCAATTAAAATCAGCTACTAAATAACGCTACGGAGATTTGAACTTTAGTCAGATTGTATATTTGACATATTTAGAATTATTTATCATTTATAAACTATATGTGTGAGCGTAATCCATTTTTTACCTCTTGACCTTGATATGAAAAAATTAAAACTTCCCAGAGAACTTACATACAAACGCTCTCCAACTCCCGTTGCTTTTTTAAAAGTTCATTCACTAATGAAGAAATGGCTTCTAATTTTTGGGGGTGTTTTGGCATATTTATGTCTTTTCCTTTGAGTTCTCAAGTAAAGCAATTTCGCATACTTTAAAATGAATAATATTTTCACCACAGACTTAAGAGCGAGTTTATTTAATTGGTCTTAAACTAAATCGAATTATTGTAAATAGCCTTGTACGTGTTTGCTCACACTAATTGGAGAATTTCCCTTTAATTGTTCTAAACAATCTGTGCCTTTTTCAAAATGAGCAACAGGTGGCCTCTCTCTATTCTGCAATATGCTAACTGTAACAGAATTACTTACACCTCCTTCATTACGATCAAGACAGAAAAATGATATATGCTTTTCTTTGTAAATTATAAGTGTCTCCAGTGAATAAAGTATTATCCACAGAGTCATCGTCAATACCAAGAACACTTTTATGCCTTCATCACCATCATCTCATTTTGATGATGATCATTACAATAAATCATCACTACCTCTGTCGTCACCGTTATCATCTTCGTTATCATTAACATCATCATTATCACCAACATCATTATCATTATCGTAGTCGTCATCGTCATAATAATTATCAAAGTCGTCGTCATAATCATGCTCATTACCATTATAAACATCATCATCATCATCATCATCATCATCAACAACAACAACATCATAGTTATCATGATTCATCGTCATCATCATAAACATTATTACAGTGGTCGTCGTCATCATCTTCATTACCATTACCAATTATCATCATCATCATCATGCCTATCATCATCACCATATCATCATTATCATCATAATCACCACTATCATCCATCATTTTATCATTAAAACTGAAGAAAGTTTCTTTTGAACTGAAGAATGGCTGCGGTTTCAGACAAAATATGTGTTTAAAATACATGTTCATAGCCATACTAACTCCCTAAAAGATGGAGTAAAGTTGTGCAGTTTTCAACACTTGTGCAACATTCAAAAGGCTGCGGTTTCAGACAAAATATGTGTTTAAAATACATGTTCATAGCCATACTTACTCCCTCAGAGATGGAGTAAAGTTTTGCAGTTTTCAACCGTTGTGCAACATACGAAAATATACGAATACATGTATACATCATTAAATATCGAAAAACGATAACTTCAGAAATAAGAAAATATCAGTTACTTCATTTTTGACATTTTATTATTTTGTTTCACTACAAACATTCATGGCAGTTAATATATAATACATGAATAACAATAAAATAGTTTTAATATATCATGAGAAAAGATACAAATTTATACATAAACATCTCTTACAAAACAAACATCAAAGAGTTGACTTATAAGTCATTTAACAAAGTTCGGCTTTATATCAGTTCCAAATTTATGTACATGGCTATAATTAGAACAGCTCTTGCAATGGACTTTACAAATCTTTTAAATTGGTCAAACATTTTTTTAAAAAATAAGGTATTCACTCGACAGTGTAATAATTCAACAATACATTTGTATATTTTTTTTATTAATATTTTGCGTAATTAAAACCTACAATAAGTAATTAACAAACGCCGACACAAAACTGTTCAGTTACATTTTACAAATGGGAGGCATGCCGTTCTTTTAGCATGTCCTTTTTAAAATAAATGCGGTATAATTTTTATGGGAGGTCAAACTTTTTGGGATACGGGGAATATGCGTGCTTTTCACTTTGTCTTGAAACTCGTAGCAATGTTGAAAATGCGTCTGTTAAGTAAATGTCCATTAGTTAATATAATTAAAGGAAACAGAAATGGCCGCCCATGACATTATATGTCGAGCCGCTTAATTCATTGAGAAAATGAAAATATGTTAATTTTAAACACCGTCAATTACTCGGTAGCTTAGACAGTTAGCTATGTTATAATATGATATTTGATTTCTTGAGAGGGGGTTAGCTCTGTTGAGTATCAAATGTATGCTGAAGAAAATATAAATTAACAATGCATTAGTGAAAATAGGCCTGTTGCTCATCAAAGAGGTGTCATTTGAATTCCTAACAACTGTTTTAACTGTTAACAGTGTAATAATACAAACATTTGTAGAGTTTTGGCAGGCAGCAGACAATACGTTTGAGGTCTGTTTATAAATGAATGGCAGTTTTTTTGGACAAGAAAATATTGACATCATATTAATATTTCTGTCATATATATATGAATAATACAGTATAGTTAATGGGCGTCAAACTGTGAGTGAGATATAGGAAAAATATATTACAAAAAAGGAGATCTGGATTGTCATGAACAAACTCATAAACAAAACAGTTTTTTTTGGAGGAAAATTAGTATATGAGCTACAACAGTAATGAGGTGCCTGTTTGTTTTACTTTTTGCGTTCAGTTACAGTATCTACAACTGTATTATCCTATAAAAAAGTAATACGATTTTCCCTCCGAAAAGATGACAAACTTAGGTTTCATAATGTTTCATGTTAGATTTAAAGCATGTTAAGTGCTTCTCACGTGCAGAAAGCAGACTTGGATGCAAAATGATTTGTCATAAAGTAGCAAAACGTAAACAAAGCGGTATTTTTGTGTTCCGACACCGAACAAAGTATCTAAATAATTACTATTACTTTACTGATAATAAAGCAAATGATGGGTCAGCTATAGACATATGACAAATTAGATTAGACAAAAATAAAAGCTTTTGAGCAATTAAAGAAATAGTTTATGGGCTTTTGAATAAAGTTAAAAAGTATGTAAATTATTATATAGATAAACCACAATAAAAGAGTTGTTGGAGTTTTTCATCCATTGTTCTTGTTTTATCATTTGCGACTTTGTAGATATTTTGTTTTAATAATATATCTTCTAAAAAACTTACATTGCAAACATAAACTTCAATTTGTTGTCGTATGGCGAAAGTTTTGAAATAATGAAAATAATGTAAATAAATATATTGGCTTTAAATTCCTGAATATAATTATAAATAATTCAAATACTAGTTCTTCTTTGAATTTTCTTCCCCTTGTAAGTTTGCTCTTATGAAAACTTTTATTTTTCAGGTTCTTGGTAGCCTAAATATATCAGAACACACAATGTTTTAAAGAGTTTTAAATAGAATTGACCTCAAAGGCATAATCTTTATGGCTGATTTGAAGTACTCACTCATGTAATTTCTAACCAAAGACGAAGAATTAAGATTAAATCAAGATTACTGCATGGGGACACGGTTCAATACGATCCACGTACAACTTTCTGCCTACCGTGAAAATAAATCGGATTCCATATTAATTTAGCATTAATTCAACAATTCAAGTGCTTTGTTTCGCATTTCTGCGCATCATTATTCTATACTGGACGGAAAAATGTAAGATGAATTCTTTCTATTTGTAAAATATGTTAAATTATTGCATATTCATTTCGTTAAATAAATTTACTTAAAAGTCACGATTTTAGTAACAAGTTGTTTTCATATTCTATAGTACGAGAATAGGTAAATTGGCAATATCGTGAATTTAAAACGGAATTTTAAATACAAGCCTTTAGTGTAACGGAAAGTTATTTATATTAATACAATGTATTATTCGTTAATATACAAAATTAATGTACATGAATTTCTTATAGAATTTAAACATTATTAGTGCGCAATAAGTATTGCCTATTTTCTTAATATAACATAATATTTCTTGAGTGCAACGTTTATACATTATAATTTATATTGATAAAGAAATATCATGAAACAATTAAGCAGAAAATAAAGAATGATTTGGTTAGTAAAAACAAAGAAATATTAATAATGTTTTAGGAACAATAATATATTCAATGCCCTGGTGTTTGGAATTTGTACGTTGACCCTAATTTATTTATACGTTAATAGAACGTACTGGTGAATAAATTCACTTATCATTTTAATATCGATGTGTATAAATAGAATATCCTACAAACATAAAAGATAGTGACGATAACGATATGACCAATTTGTTTCGTACAGATATTATACCCGCCATCCAACAGAAATAAGGCACACTGTTTCTCCAGCTGTGGTCATGTTGAGCTAACGCTACTGGTGGTAGACTGATTTTACAATTTCACAAGATCGCGCCGACACGCAGACAGGATGCCAGTCTGATTATCAGGAATATCTACATGTCCCATGTTAATACATAAACACTGTTTTTCACATTTTACTTATTGTCTCCTGGGGGGTAAAGATTTTTTTTTCAGTCATGTGGCCGATCAGGTTACAACAGAGGGTCAAACTTTGATAATCTTACAGGGTCACTGTGCCCGCAAACACAAGTGCAAAATGACCGTTTGCGTGTAACAAAAGTGGTCAAAACTGTGCACCCATTAACGTCAATACAATGTTCTTCTTTCTCGCAGAATGGCACTTTTTGTAGATATTTACAAGATTACATTTAGTGGCGTTGATTGTAAGTGTTTCCATCACAGATCGTAGATAACACGCTCGACACCGTTTATTGGCGTGCAACAGTTGTGAGTGTCAGAGATTGTGAACGATCTTGTCGTCTGCTACCAAAGAACAACTGGGACAGTCACAATCGTATACAGTCAACGGTTCCGATACGCCAGGTTTCATTTCGTGTTTTGTATGAACCGAAAGGTCCTTGCATCCTTCGGTCTTTTCGTCTTTCCTGTATATACACTCTGAAAATATATAGAATAAATATCTGTTTACAAATGGTACACAATTACTATCTATGAAAGAAAGAAATGATGTCATCTTTTGGCGCAAGGATGAACATTGCCAAGGCAAAGGACATTGCGCTTTAAACTATAATGTACATGTACAAAACCTTTTCTTCTGTATTGTATACACGTAAGCTAACGATTCTTTTCGTATTTATTAATTAATATTATGTCTTTTTCCGTTAAATCTAAGGCAAAAGAACTTTTATAGTGTCATATCTAAACAAGTTAAAATTAAGTACAAATCTTCATTTGCGAAATTGTAGAAGCGAAACTGACTTAACAAAACAACCAATGGCCAAGTTCAAAGAGTTGACGGGGAAGCATGTTGTTTAATCTATATTATAAATGACGTAATGGAATCAAGTCTTCTCAGAACTTTACTGAAATTAGCTCCCGCAGAGCTGAGGAGGTCTTTCTTTGATTTTCGTAGAACAGCGCAACTGTCCGACTATAATTAGCACTAGTGTATTTATGAACAGCTCTTAGAGTTTATTTTCTCAGTTAATGTTTGTATTTATGTACACCCCTCAGGACTGAAAACAAACATCTTTGATGTGATCTGAGGTCTAGGGCTTCAAACGACCAAGTTACTAATAGAACCAAAAATTCTAATTGGCTAAATTAACAAGTTTGTTAGGATAATAATTAATGATATGCCACGTCAGAAAATGTCCGACAAACGGCAGAAAGGCAGAATGTTCCCCTGACAACAGTCGTTTATAAACGTTTATTCTTGTAATCTTTTACTCATTTTTAAATATTTTAATTTAAGAAAGCGCACCGTCGCTATGGAGATTTTACTCGAAGTCTTAAATTCTTTAAATTTCTTTTTCATATTTTATAATCATAAGATTTGTTGAATAAATTCGTGGCCAACAAAAAAAGATGGTATAAGTAAATGAATAACAATTATATGTACATTAATTTTGTATTTTACTTGAGATGTAGCTGTATTTTTTTCTAATTATAGATTGTACAGCACTTAAAATGCTCAAAACATATTTTCTATGTTTCACGCAAACATATCATTGTTAAAATTGAACACAAACTTTGAAGTTAATATAAGAAAATATTTATGACAAGTAAGGTATCGAATCGCTCTTTTCGTTTATTTTTTATCCTTAGCTTATTACCAGAAGCTTAAGCACTTCAAAATGCATTCTGTTCAATGATAAATGCAGTTTAAAGGACCACAGTTTGGGAAAATGATATTTCTTGAAAAACCTAAAATTTGTTTCTTATTAAGACAGGAAAAACAACAATAACTGTGAGTGTTATAGCACTAAAAATCGACAGAATGTATTATATTGGGCAACTGTCAATTAGCACGTGAGAATATAAATATTAACTTGGAGAAATGACGTAAAAAACGAGTTTTGATGAAGTAGTGCAAAAAATAATACACTGAACATCAAAGCCCCGTTTGAAAAGCGAAGCTGTATTAACACCTGCTACATATATAAAACAGAAATATTGCAATCAGTTCTCGTCTTCAAATAAGCCATTTCCCGCGTGGAAATGAACGTTCAATTTCAGTTTTAACCGGAAGCAGTAAATTTTTTTTTTATTAATTTTTCAAACCTATAAAAATTAACGATATCGTTTTCACACTGCTGTAAGTACACGCTTTAAACAACTTGTGGAAACTGATTGTGGCGATAGCCTTTCGATTAGATCTCCTCTTAACAAGGTGAATATAATTCTTAATGTAAAATAAAAATGCTTATTGAACTAACAGTTTGTAATTCTTTTATTACATTCATGTCATACTCGCAATGTAACATTTTAAGAAGTAACAACAACATGTAAATTTCACTTCAAACTCACGAAGCATTTAGGTGCTGAGTGCCTCTGACAAACATCTGGCTGTTCAATCTATCAATTTTGAGCGATTTTTGAATGCCCGCACTATAAAGTCAATTAATTACGAACTTTCTTGAGTACGAACTGGAAGTTTTTAAAAGCGCCACCTGTCATTTTGCGTTTCCCAGTAACGCACGAGCTCCCAAAGAGACTGGTTCGTAAATAAGTAGATAAACAAATTGAATGAGACGCAATGAGCGGAAATGTGTGAAATTATAGCCAAGTATAAAAGTAAGAATAAATAAGCTGGGTCATTGATTACTCTCACAGTTGCTGTGAAGCAGCTGATGGGAAATTTATGACGGTGAAAAACGCAAATGCTTTGACACAAAGTGTCAGAAAAGTTCCAAGAAATGCACATATACACAATGATAAATTATTTGTCAAAATAAATGTTCTTTTATATGAACAATAAATCAATTATTAGCGATTTAATGCCTTGGTTGTCTGCAATACAAAAAACAACAACAAAACCTCTTTTCTGTAACATTTGCACACTAAAAAAACTGGGTGGCATTGAAATTAATGTAAATTCAACCAAAAAATGTCTAAATTACAAACAACAAGTAGAGTTCTTAATTGTTGCATGTAGTTAAATAAACACAGTATTTACCCTTAGAATTATATCATTTAACTCATTATAATGTTGAAAAGCATTAAGATAAATGTTAAAGTATACAAAATCATTTTGAGGCTGCCAAGATTCGAGATGGATTATTGACAACCATCCTTTTGCATGTTCAGTTAATGTATAAAAATAAATGAGAGCTGGAGATTTCAGCTTGCCGCCACTTGAAGGCCTCTTACTTAATGGCATTTATAATGTATTTTTATGAAGTTTCATACCATTAGTCATGGAAAAAACTGAACTGCAATTAACCCGACATTTAATGAATTATTTACGAGCGTTCCTTTCCATCTCAACCAATATTCGGTCACTTTCTCCAAAAATTCCAACAATTTGGTTTTTGGCTCAGGCGAATAAAAACTTTTATAGACATATTGATTTAAATAAATCCGTTAATGGGCACATTAAAAGGGCTCCCTCTGCCGTTGGCCAGTTCAGACATTAGCTAAAATTCTGAAAATTTGGCTACAGCCATTATAATTTGCCTAAGGAAATTCTTATTCTGCTACATGTATTATTATGTTATGCTATTCTGAACAAATTTTATAAGAAATTTTACAATCTGGCTGAAAAGAATTTGTAACCCTGTTTTATATACACGTGAATTCATATTTGTTCTGAAAAAAGGCTCTAACATTTTTGCTCTCAAGCCCACACCTAACAACGAGCCAAGGTACATTGCACCCCTTAGCATAAAGGTTTAAAAAGCCCTCTTTTGTGTTGTAGATTGAACCGTTAACTTTGAAATCATGATCTGTATGTATACGCTCATAATTTTGGAACGACCAAATTATATACAAAAGAACATGAACATATTGCACTAGACTAAGATCTAAATGAAAACGCACTTTTTGCAAAATGTTGATATTTTTTTAACCTAAACCTAAACCTAAACCAAAAAACGTGTTTATTTTTTGTTCAAACAACAACAACAACAGTAAATAGCGTTAGGTACAAATTAGCGAAGCCATGTCAAATTCTACAATAGTAAGATATTCTGCGCTACATGCTTACGTAATTGCATGCATTTGAAACGTCACTTCGAGTCAAAGAAGGCGTTTTCTAAGACGTTGCAGGCATAATACTAATTACAAAATATTACGTTCATACCAAACCATTCACCAGCCAAGTGACTGTAGCAGAATTTTAAGGAAAAAAATGTTTCAATCATGGCGACTCGCTTTTCAAAGTTTCTTGAGAATTTGTGTCTTTTTTATGAGATAAACTCTCAAAATACAAGAAAAATATCTTTTACAATCTGGAGAGATAATTATTTCTGCTGTTTGTTTTCGAGAGACGTTTAAAATTTGCGGAAAAGACATTTAGTCTTTTTAACGGTGTCTGAGTCACGTGCGATGGTGACTTTAACAGATGTCGTTGATGTCATTTCCTGTATACGTATGCGGAGTCCTTCTGGAGCAGTCGTTAAATAAAGTATTGGAATTCAACACCCTGCGTTGTTAATGGTCCCTTTACGGGTCATTTAAAGGAAAGCGTGGAACCATTCTACGGTCAGGTGATCATAGATGAAGTCTCGAAGAAATGGATTCTCATTTTTACTGTTATCCCATATACTTTACTTTATACTTTACTTTATAACGAAAACATTTCAATCCATCGTGCATGCTTTAAAGATTAAACTTGTATTCTGGTAAACGATTTATTATTTAAAAAGATATTTTGATTTTCAAAATATTCTTTTTATTCTAAAACGAGGCTATAATATTAATTTCAATAGCTTCCGTTAGCAACACTTGAGTCTGAATGGTCGAAAGGATTTTTGCATATAGTAGGCATATTTAATGTGATGATTAAGAGTTTCCTAAAATCAAACTTCTAAAGATTCTCTTATCGTCTCTTTTTACCTCCTCTTCTAAACAATTGAAGAGTATCGGACCAGTACCGGTGCAGGTAATTAAGATCGCACGCGCCCAAACTCATGTCCGGCCATTAACATGTACTTATTTTGTAAGCCTATAATGTAAGGTCAGTATAAAGAGATACTTGAGTACTCTAAGATGCCTTTGAAGTGTGGCCGCGGATGGGTACATTTCTATTTCATGCTTTAATGAAAGATAAGTACTGGAAACGGGAACCAGACTTCTACGTTCTAATTTCAACGCATGCACCGATATAATTGACGATAATCAACACCCTGACATTGGAACTTAAAAGGTAGCCAAAGTGCTTTGCATTGGTTTGCTTTCAATGTTTTAAGATGTTATATAGATTTCGTTTTTTTTTTCAAGTAATCGAACATCTTTCCTAAAATCTTTCTTAATGTTCTAGTTAAGAAATAACCCATATAAGAAAACGACAGAAAGGACTTTTTATATAAATTATCTTTGTGAATTATTATTGTAGATTACAATTTTTTTTCCATACGTCAGTTTTGGCGTCAATACCCTGTCAAAAAATATAATCAAAACTAAAGGACTGTCAATTTTTTCCAAATATACTAAGT